AAATATTGGAGTGTCACCCATGATATGATGGGAATTGCTAGTGTTTTAGATCCTGGGTACAAAATGGAGTTACCTGAGTACTATTATGAAACATTGTATGAAGAAGACTCTATTAAGCAAGTTAAGAGGATTCAACAACTTTGTTATGAATTAATTGTTGATTATTAATTGAAGTTCAACCAAGAGAATTGTGGTGACTCACCAATGTTGGAATCTAGTCGTGTGGCTAATGATAGTTTAGATGATTATGATGCATATGTTCGAAAGAAAAAAGAAGAAACTAGAACTTCATCTGTTAAAACAGAATTGAATCATTATTTAGAAGAGCAAGTTTTACCGTAAAGTCCTGATTTTGATATTATATTGTGCTGGAAGTTAAATGACATTAAATATCCAACACTCCGAGCAATTACAAAAAATGTTTTAGCAATTCCTATTTCTGCCGTAGCTTCAGAATCCACATTCAGTACTAGCGTTCATATTTTAAGCCCGCATCGCGCTCAACTTCACTGGACAACTTTAGATGCTTTGATGTATGCTAAAAGCTGGTTATGGAGCAGTGAAAATAATGGTAAACTTTTATAGTATTTTGTCAACTTTTTATAGGTTAATTATAAAAACCAATATACTGCCTCTTTATATTAAGTATGATACTTTTTGTATTATAAAAATAATATACTACCTTTTTCAATTTTTATAGGTTAATTATAAAAACTAATTTTATAGGTTAATCAAAATTTGCTGGCATTAGGATACTTTTGGTATTATTAAGTTGTAAAACCAATATGCTGCCTCTTTCTATATGTCAATAAGTTGTAAAACCAATATACTGCCTCTTTTTATATGCCAAACAAAGTTATGGTTTTCCAATTTAAATTTATTCATACTTTTTTCGTACCATATTCAGTATGTTAGGATTATTTGTTTTCTTTTAAGAAATTAATAGTCTTTTGGTTCCTTCATATTAAGTATGAATCCAGTTGAATTAAAATTTATAAAAATGATATATAATTTTGTATTTGTTAATTGATTATTATTTATATTGTATTGTGTTTCATATTTTTAGGTGGTATGAGTTTTAAGTTAAGCAATAACTACACTACTTTACTCGATGAAATAGAGTCCGACGAGGAAGGCAAAATTTTCCTTTGATTTATTTATTATTAATTTCTAATACGGAGTGTGAAGTGACTAATGTATTACGAGTTTCTTCTTGCACCTATTTCTCAATTTTTACTATGAAGTGTGAAGCGATATTTATTTATTACTAATTTATAGTATGGAGTGTGAAGTATCCATCCAACCAATTGACTTGTTAGTAACTAATTTGTTATTAGAATACATGTGTAACTAAATTTTGACTTTTATTCTTATTTATTATTAATGTTTGTATTTTAATTTGTATTTTTTATATAGGTGAAATATTGACTAGTGGTGTTATTTCCCTCTTTGAAGACCGAGAATAACATTTAGAGAAAGAAAGAAAGAAGACAATATTGATGTTGGCCACTTATCTATTTTTGTTAGCAATTTTCATAGACAATAATATTGAATATTTTTAGATATGTGGTTGTTTTGTTGGTATTTTGGAATGTAGAATATTTTTTACTATGCGTTTATTTTGATGGTAGTTTGGAATATCAATTTGTATTTTATTATTTAGTGTTTATATTTTGGATGATTTGATTTTGTTAATTTGAAATATTAAATGTATGGTTAATGAATAAATACTTTCGATTGTATTTTATTATTCAAATTATATGTTTGAAATTCTTCGAGATTGTATTTTATTTATGTAACACAAGTTAATATTTATTGGGATTGGGGCAGGTTTTGGGTTCGGGGATAATTTTGGGTTCGAGGAAGCTTTTGAGTTTAAGGCATGTTTTAGATTTGGGAGCGGGGCGGGGATCCCCGAACCCATTTGGGACGGGGTTGAGGTTCAATTATTCATCCCCGACGGGGATCCGGGCGGGGAACAAAGATTTATCTGGGATTCAGGTTTGGGGTTGAGGAATACAAAAAACGTCCACGTCCTGCCCTGTTGCCATGCTTAATCTTGCTGGTATTAGAATATGAGTTTGATACCTTAAATTATGAAAAAAAATTAAGAAAAGGAAGTAAACTTTTCATTGTTGTTACTCACTTTGTTATCAGACTCTAACCATGGTTCGGAAATAGTTAGTATTTTTTATTTATTTGGACATACACAATTCAACCCCCTCTTTTTGTGTATTTTTCTCACCTTCAGTATTTTGTTTATGTAACTAATCCAACGTCGAAAAGTTTTCCCACTTATTCATTAATGGCAGCCCTTTTCTCCTCACACACATCCCGCTTCCTCTATGCTACTGGCTTGGTGGAAGGGTGGATGGCAAGATGATGGCTCACTATTTTGGTGTTTATTCCTGGCATGTCGGTGGGAGGCCAAGCGAACATTTCGACATTCTTAATGAGTTGGTTTACTAGTTCCAATTCCTCCCCCGCAGACAACGAAGTTCCTATCTTCGTCACCTAATTGGCGTGAGGACCTATCTGTACCTCTTTCAAAAATTATATGGGTGTGAAAATCTATATGGGCCTCCTTCAAATATTATGTGGGTGTGAGCTTTTGTGCTTTTGCGTCCGATATGGGGTCCCAACATCCGAAGTTAGCATTTAAAACTTCTGAATGAGGGACATCAACAAGGGCGAACTCTTCTCTGGCTGTCTCTAGGCTATTTTGATAACACTGTCGAGCTGTTTATTGGTCTCCTTGAATTGTATCGATTTGCCCATCCGGGAAAGGGTATGTTAAGGTTAGGTAAATTGTGGACATGACTGCTCCTAGGGCAGAATGATGTTGTAAGGTGGCAGGGTGTCTATAATGAGGCACCTGACGTCAATCGCCTTGGCGTCCGCTCCCCTGCCACACGTGGTTTCCAAGGTTACATGGTCCATAATTTGTACTTGTTCGTCTGATAACTCTGTCAAAGAACCATTGAATGTTTTTATGTCGTTCGTGTTGAGTTGTAATTTATGAAAGGCATCCCAAAACAAGACGTCAACAGAGCTACCAAGGTCTATCAGAATGCGCTTAATGTCCAAGTTACCCTGTTGTATAGTAATTACCAGAGGATCATCACCGTGAGGGTTGAGACGGAGGGCGTCATCCTAAAAAAATATGATATTAACCATATTTTTCCCTTGAGAGCTTTTGGGGAAGCCAAGAGATATTACATTTTCTGCAAACACGCGCCTTGCGTATTTCTTTCGTGAAAATTTAGAGCTACCTCTACTGGAGAAACCTCCGATGATGGTGTTTGTATTGCAAGTTATGGTTTCACCGATCATCTTCAGAGGGAAGATGACGAGAGTTATAGTAGGGGTGTGGTACAAGTTAGTTTTATTGGGGCTCCACGGTGGGCGCCACTGTACTGGTCAAAAAGTACACGTGTGTGTGTGTTCCTTCTGTAAATGTAGGGGGACTCAAATGCCTTAGTAGGTTTATAACAATTGTAGGTGTTTAAGGCTTGCCCATGATGGTGAAAAGCCCTGTGTGGTGGTGTTTTATGATAATTTAGGGGTCATGCTCACATGAGGTGAAAGACCATGTTGATGGGCAACATGCTTAGGTTTAAGCTTCTGAGGGATATGATAATACGAAAGATGATCTTTTGTAAGCGCTATGCTTTAGGGTGTAATCACGAGTATGACTTAAAATTTGTCCCCTTCTCATACATATGAGATGTATTTATAGATGCCTATAGGGCCTATGATTCTCTTAGGAAGGGTCATCGCCCACCCAGTCAATGGTTGACCGTTGAATCCCTATTTTTTAAGAAGTTGTGAATCAATTATCGGCTCTAACTTCTTCTTGCCCTAAAAACGTCTAATCCCATGTTTCTCACTACTGGACGATATGAAAGTTCTGAGGCGAGACGATACCTTCCTTTGAATGACATTCCAACGTCGCCTCTTATAGATCGGTCTAAAGGCATTACCTTAAACGAGACCTTTTACAATTATAGCACTACAGATAAAAAAAAAATGTAATTTGAATTAAAACAAAAACTAACACATTATTTCAATAAAAAAAGTGTAACTTGAATTAAATAAAACTAACATATTATTTTTGAAAAAGTGTTATTTGAATTTAAAAAAGCCCAATACATTATCTTAATAAAAAAAAGTGTTATTTGAATATAAAATAAATAATAAGTTAATTGATTTTTTTTTACAAAATTGAAAATAAAAAATAAAAAATACAATTCCAATCTACGAAACATTTTCAAAATAGCAACAATTACAATTTTTTAAAATTTGCACAAATAACAATTAAACTTATATTAATTTAATACTCGCAAAATTTATTATTATGACGTGTTTGAATTAATATTTATATTGTAGATACAAATTTAAAAATAAATAATACAATAGATGATTAAATACAAATACGAGTATTTTAATAACAAAATTAAAATTAAAAAGATATTAAAAACAAATTATTTTAATATATCATAAATTTCCTATTCAAATTTAATATAATAAGTATGTTGAACTATATCTAGATTAAATCAAAGTTAAAATACGTATAAAATAAGTTTTTATTTTATTTTTTAATTTAAAAAAAATTATTTTGAACGTAAATCTATTAAACAAATTTATTATTTTTCATCCCTAAAACATTTTTCCAAATAAAATCAACAAACAAATTTTATTTTATTTTTTCTTCAAACTAGATTTTTTAAAATTAACCTATAGCCCAATTGGATGAAAGGTGAATCAAACCCTATAAAAACTTGTCAATTCTCTTTCTCTAATCGGTCACCACGCACGAACTAAATAACCAACCTCACAAGCCTCTCTTCACCATCACTGCCGTTTCTCATCTTCTCGCCGTCGCCTCTGTTACACACTGCCCCGCCGTACTTACAACTCAAACCAAACTCTGCTGAAATCTAAACGAAGCTTCTACTTCATCTTCTTCTGTTTCTTTTTATTCTCCTTATTAACGCAAAATGACTCGTCCTAAAGCCAAGTCGAAGAAAAAGAGCGGCGTCGTTGACTTCAAGGTTATCTCCGTGCCCTATTACCATTCTCTTGTTTACATTCTATGCATGTTTAACGTTATTAGTGATTTTTCAAAGCTTTTGAATGCTCATTAGCGTTTTTTGTTGCTCACAATTTCAGAAACGAAAGGTGAAGATTGGGAGGAGATTGCCTCCACCTAAAAATTCAACAAATACCGAAGTGAAATCTAAAGGTACCAATTTTATATCCTTTCTTCCAGAATTTATTTGCCTAGGTTTTGTTTTTCACCAATTATTTAACCTTTTTATTGGTTGAAATTCATTATATCTATTGTTAGGATGTATTTGTATTTGTTTTATCTGCGTTCCGCAATTTAAAAATGTGCATAAGCTTGGGAAGTTAATATTCATTGAGCATAATCTTTCTCTATCCCACGCACAGGAAGGGCAAGCATTTACATACTATATTGTTTATGAATAGAGTTTTTTGAATGCTTTATTTAGAATATAAGTAAATGAACTAATATAATGAAACAATTTTACCGCGATTCCTACAGCAATTATTCTGCCGGAGCAGAGTGTAGCTGCTGATAAGGCAGGTTTGGCTGTAAACAAGAAGGGTTTGACTTTAAAAGAACTTCTTCAGCAAACATCTCATCATAATGCAAAAGTTCGAAGAGGTTAGTATATTCATTTTGCTGGATATGTTGTTGTTTAGCTGTCTTTAAGTTTGGATAGCCGCATCAGTATTCTATATAGTAGGAATTTTGTATGTTAGAGCAACAGAATCTTCACAAACATTAATTTTAGCCAACTAAGTTGAACAAAATTCCAAGAATAAAAGAATTAATTAATTTAGTTGTTTAGCAACCTTAAATAGATGTGAGTTACATAGATAATTCTCTCTTTTTGAATAGATGTGTGCTATTAAGTTGTTGGCTGATGTGTTAAGTGTGAACGACACAGATTTTGTTTTTGTTTTGAATAGATGGGAGCTACATAGATAATTCTCTGTATTGGTCGGATGTAGGATGCATATTACATTGTTTTAATTAATAGAACAATGCCATGAACTGAAATGCATGCAATACTTGGTGACTGGTTTAGTTTCTAAAACTTAAGGATAAAACTTAAGGAATGATGGAGGTCAATTTTGTTCGATTATAAGCCTCAAACCAAATAAGCTTGGACCATGAAACTGTTATTATCAATCATTATTTTGAAAGTGATTGAATAGAAAATGAAGTTGACTATTAATTATGACACTTAGTGATCACTTAAGGGTTGGTTCATATTCATATTACACTAATTCTTTTTGAATGCCAATTCGTTGTTGTTTTACTTGAGCTAGTCAAGAATTCAAATTTTGCTTTTATATATCATATTAACTAATAATATTTTCCCACTCCCCCACCCAAATACAGATGCATTGATGGGTATTAAGGATTTATTCAGTAAACATCCAGAAGAACTGACGTCGCACAAGTATCGTGTTGTAGAAAAACTCCGAGAGCGTATTAGCGACGATGATAAAGTTGTTCGGAAATCATTATATGATCTTTTTAAACTAGTGATTTTACCTAGTTGTAAAGAGGTACTTTCTCTTCTGTTTACTTAATTTAATCTTCTTACGTGTTAAAGTGATGCTCCATCATCATTCTGAAGAATAAAATAGTCTATCTCTTCCTTCGCCACACTCACTTTTGCTATATCAAATAAGTGTTATTGTACAAACACGAAAATGACACCAAGCACATTACATTGCCTCCCCAAAGCATTGACATACTTTCACTTATTAGACCTATAAGGCTATAACCAACCTTAAGAAGTTTATGATCAAAAATCCCCGTGGTCCCAAAAAAATGGAGTAGAAGAAATTTTTGGCTTATGGTTCTAGAATTATGCTTCTGCTAAATTAGCCACACTTCAACATAAAAAGCACAACACCAAAGCATCTCATTATTCATCCTACTCTCAAAATCAACCATCAACCAAAAATAAACGTTGACCCATTGTGACTAGTTGATTTTTGTCAAAATATTTGTGGGGAACTTTTCATCCCTTGAAATAAACTCGAACCTATAGCATTTTTTAATTGATATTCCAATCAAGGATAATTGCATTGATATCCAAAATTTTAATCTAAACTCAATATGAATATGTTTTTCTAGTAATGCTTTCAGCTTATGACCAACACATACTTAGTTGCTCAAATAATTACTCATTTATTGGGACACTATGTTTTCCTGGAAGATTTATCACTTGTACATCTTTCCATAATTTGATCGGGGTACACTATGCCACTCTATTAAGGATGTTGAATATTATATTTGGACACTAATGCTAATAAAGAAAAAAGTGATATTAAAATATGCTATCGAGTGAGACTGGTACACATACAAATCACTGTGTAATTTACATGAGCTAATAAGGGTGTATCCACCCGTTGATATATTATTCAGATCTTAATCTCAACCTACTTGAACTTAAGAATGAATTAACCCTCTATTTGCTAACTTTGAAGTAGCACTGACAAAATTTTGTTGAAAGACCGATGTTAAGCCTTTTTCTCTCTTGTGATAAAGCAATTAATGCCTTTTTCTTTTGATTTCTGTTCTGTTATATTTGCTTCTGATTATTATGTCTGGCTGTAATATTCGCACCCTGTATTGTTGATTGCTCCCCTCATTGGTTTACTAGGATATAGTTTGTTTTCAATTGACATATCCTCGACTTGTCATACAATCATATCAATATAGTAATGATTACTCTCCTGTGAACTTCATTAATCTTATTTTGTTACTTGATTCTCCCTATATTTTGTAGGATAATCAAGAGCTGATCACTTCTTTAATGATGGCTTACATATTTAATGCAATGACTCATTTGGCAGTTGACATTCGGTTCATGGCATTTAATTTCTTAGACCTTACTCTTGAGTATTATCCTCCTTCCTTTTCTTCATATGCAGAAAAGGTAATATATTGTCCATATTGTAAATGTTTTCTTAATAATATGTTAGTTAGGCTTCTTGAATTCTTTTGACACGTAATTTGTTTAAAGCTGCACTTATTTATTATTCTTATTTTGTATTACTGTATGGTTAATGATGGGTTACTGACTTATTGGGCTTATTGGGCCTTCAGTTGGAGGTAACAAGTAAAGAGTGAGAGTGCAAGGGTGGGGTGGGGATTGGAAGGAGAAGAAACAGTTAAAATGGGCATACAAAATAGGACAGGTGGCAGTGAAAGAGAATAGAGGGGGGTGTAGAATTCTTGGAAGGAGTGAGAGAAAAAGAGTTGTATTTACAGGAGGGTAACCAAGTGAGAGAGAGAGGTATAATGACTCTTGTGTGGAGTTAGTGGGGCTGAGTATTGGGTCGGTTCCAATCTCTATGGGGGGTGCTCTCATTGTTGAGACTTTAGAGAATCATTTACCTTTCTGTATTTTGCAAGGAGATTCTTCTCCATTCCCTTGTTCAGGAGTTATTTTCTTTTGTTGGATCATACTTTTCCATTTTGTAAGAAAAGGATTCATCCCTAGTTATCAGTGAATGAATTGCAGTGCATTTCCCTTTTATATTCTTTTTGTATGCTTGGTTCTATCAGTTAACAAAATGTGTGTATATTATCATCTGATTTCAGCCTTTTTATTAAAAGGCTTGTAAAATTTGCTTCACAAAATGCTGTCACAATTTGTTTCTTAGTTGTGTTGGTGAAATACAGACTATAATTGCATATCAATTTTGCATTGTTATTTGTAATTGGTTTATGTACCATCATTTTATCTATTTTTGAGCTTGATCTTTGATATGTTTTATTCATCTGCAAACTTTATTATGTAAACCTATCCTAAATTTGAGTTATATGGTCCTTAGATTGTATTCTCTGTATTTGAAACTAAGAATTCCCTGTAATGTTGGTTGCATTGTTAACAGATTTTTCAGAATTATGATGATATCCTAAGGAAGAACCAGTACCATTTACAGGACAAAGAAAAACTAAAGGATACTTTTGCCGGGTTGGTTCGCTGCCTTTCACTTTTGCCATGGAATATAGAAGAAACTGATTTGCAAAATAAGGTATATATTATATATGGTTTCGTTTAATTGTGAATACTAGTTAGTCTCTGTGACCTGGATCAATAGTACTATTGCAATAGCAGTTTTTGTTCTTCTTAAGCCTCTATATATCTTAATGATTTAAAAAAAGCTTTCTCTATCTTATTAAATGACTTTCTATATCTGTTTTATTAGATGTGGTTATATATTCGCCTTTCAAAGCATAACATCTCAGGACTCAAACCACCTACTTTGTTTCCCGCTGTGATTTATGAGAACATTGTTTTTATGCTGCAGCCTTCTCCAGTATATTTCTAATGCTTTATCTTATTTAATAGGATGATATTGGACAAAGGGTATTGCACGCTTTTGAAGCTGATAACTCTATGAGCTCTACTGGTATGGTATCTCAAAATTACAATTTAGATTTTGAATGAACTGACTAATTGAATGTTGTTGTATCTTGTACAAGTTTGCATAATTTTGAAGTAACTAAAAAGATTTGTTAATCTTTTATATCTTTATAATGGTTTGACTGTATTTCTATGATTTATTTTGTGTAGGTTTTTCTCATATCATAGTGAAACTAAAGGATCTCGTGGCAATATTAATAAATAGTTTTCAAGAATTTACTACTTTGTTTAATGCTAAGGAGAATCTTGAAGGGAGGTCTTTTGGTTGTATGTCATCCATTCTTCATAGCATAGATCTTATAGTAAGGTCATTTGTTTATGGGATTGATAAGAAATCGGAATGCACAAGTTCTCAAGGTGGAGCCAATGTGGCTATATGGGATGTATCAGTTTCTTCTACATTCTTGAGGAAATTATTTCCTCTTTTTCCTCTTGATCCAGGGCATGGTCTTCCACAAAAGGTAGACGTATTTATCTCTTTTACCTTTTAGAGTTGTTGTTGTTCTTGTTAGTACCTTTTAGAAGTGGCTAGTAAGAAGAAGAATAACTGTAGAAATCTAAAGAGAAACCAAAGCTATTTAGATTAGTTATTTTCCTCCCTGTTATAACCCATTCAATGCAAATATGGACTCATTTCATCAAATATAATGGATTGCTTAGTTATCTATTAAGTTGTTTGTTTTTGTTAAGAAATTGTGGTTGGGCCTAACTCAACCCTACAAAACCGGTTGGTAGAGTGAGGATTACCCCATTTATAAAAATATTTTCATGCCATATATTGTCCGATGTGAGACTCTTAACACCCCCCCTCACGCTCAGGACTAGACAACTGAAGTGTGGAAATAAATGGTGGGTGGCCAGATAGTGGAAACCACCGAAGGTAGTCCACCGGATCTTAAACGAGGCTCTTGATACCATGTTAAGTAATGTGGTTGGGTCTAACTCAACCCTACAAAACCAGTTGGTAGAGTGAGGATTACCCCCATTTATAAACACATGTTCATATTGTCTGATGTGAGACTATTAGAGTTTGGCCTAACACAACCTTACAAAACCGGTTGGTAAGGTGAGGGGTGCCACTCTATATAAACTATTTCAATGCTCTATCTCCAACTAATGTGGGACTTTAGGATCTTCCTAATACACCCCTCACGCCCAACACTCTATTTGGGCTTGGTGCGTGGATTTAAACGGTGGGCTGCCTACCCAAGGTTTGATCGATAGGCTCTGATACCATATTAGAGTTTGGCCTAACACTACCTTACAAAACCGGTTGGTAGAATGAGGATGACCCCCACTTATAAACACATGTTCATGCCATATATTGTCCGATGTGGTACTCTTAACATGGTATCAAGAGCCTCGTTTAAGATCCGGTGGGCCACGTTCTATTAGGTTTCCGCTATCGGGCCTCCCACCATTTATTTCCACGCTCCAGATGTCCAGTCCAGGGCGTGAGGGGGTGTGTTAAGAGTCCCACATCGGATAATATATGGCATGAACATGTGTTTATAAGTGGGGGCAATCTTCATTCTACCAACCGGTTTTGTAGGGTAGTGTTAGGCCTAACTCTAATAGGGACTCTTAACAGTTTTTATTCTTAAGAATACACTCATCTCCAAAGTATAGTACAAATGAGGAGGAATAGCTCTCTTTAATTTCTTTGCATGCCTACCAAGGAAATGACTATGTGCTTTTCCTAACTAGGTCTGAGGATTATCTAATTGTTTCCCCTGTTTTGGAGGATATCTTAGTACTGTAAGATTGAAGAAATATAACTTCTGCTTTGGTTTTTCAAAATTTCAACTGGTGTGCTTTGATGAAATGTATTTATATCTGAGTAACAGCTTCTAGCCTTCTATATTGACAAGTAATTTGGAGGTTACATCATGCGTTCTTGTCACAGTTCATCTTGGTTTGTCTAGTTGCTTGGGATATCACAACTCAACTTTGGTTGTTAAAGCCAAGTATTAAAAAATTTAGTTTGCTCCTATAAACTGTTTCATATTGGGTTAAATTTATTTGTTGTGTTATAGTAACCCCCTTACTTTGTAGCACATGATAGGTAGTAAAAAGCCCAGCAGGATTATGTCATATTAACTTTTTCATTCTTTGCAGGATTATGATAGGTTGCTTGACTTGAACTTGGTCATTGCAAAAATATTTTTTGAATTAAATGAATGGATCTGCCTTCCTCCTTTTTTGTTGGAGAAATTTCTAGAATTTCTTGAAAATGCACTTCTTGGGAAGGTTTGATACATGCACTAATAAAATCCTTTTGAATTTTTATGAAGTTGAAAACAATTGTCATTTTACATCTAAGCTTGACTAGAAGTGTTAATATGCAGTTTGGCAGAGCTGCACAGTCTGGTAAGGCTGTCTGGGAAAAGCATCTAGTTCAACTCCTTCGTTTTATTCCAAAATTTCTTTCACGCGGAGCAAGCGACTGGACGTCTCGTCTTCTTTGGGTTTGACTCGCCACATGAATTCTGAAATTTAATTTATTTTTTTGTCGAAAGCCATTGATTAGATATTCTGTCTTTCAAATATTACCTGGAATTTGGCTTCTTTTTTCATTTATAATTTGCAAAATGATTTCTAAATTCCTAGATACCGTGAAGGAAATGATGAAAACATTTTTGTTATTAATAATAACATGTCAAAACGACAACAATAAAATAAAGCAAACAACATCTTAGGGCCTATTTTAGCAGTGTTTGGTTCAACAGTTTTCGGCGCTCTCCTTAGAAGTAGAAGTTGCCGAATCACTTTTCTTTTAAAACTCATAAAAATTTCTATTTTTTACAAAGAAAAACAAAAAATGTAATTTTTGGAGCTTCTGCATCTCTCCCCCTTTTTTCCTCCTTGCAAATCAATCTTAATTTTGATTCGTGCTGTAGAATCTTTGATAGCCCACAGTGATGTGTAACATTCCTCTTATTTAGGATGCTATGCACGTTTGCATTCCTCACAACTTGTGCTTTTATAATCGGTCCTTCTGGGCCTCCCCTAAGTCAAAAAAAGATTTTAAGCGAAGTTTTGTATATGCATTTTTTATTAACCATCTTTTAGGTTAAAATGATTTTGAAGTTAAAAAATTGAAAACAACCAAACAGCTCCATCTTTACTTTTAAAACACTTATTTTTTAACACTAAAATAGCTTTTAAGCCAAAAAAGTTGGGCCAACTGCTAGTTTAAGAAAATGTTCTATATTCATTTCTCGTTTTTCACCTTTAATTAAGAAAATGCCACTTTATTTTCACTCCGTTTCTTCTTTTCAGTCTTTTTTTCCCTATTCAAAACTTTGGAATAGAAACAAATTGAAATCAAGGTGATATTTTTTAATTAAATGTTAAAGCGAAAAGCCAAACAGGCCTTTAATTTTTACCTTTTGGATTCTTGTTCCATGTTTATATTTATTTTTCTATTTTTTTCTTCTAATAAAGGTTCCGAAGGTGCTATTTTTACATGGAATTTGCAACCATTGCAGGCATTTACCCAGACATTTAAGGAAAGCAAGCCAGGTTCCTTATTGAAATTGGCCTGTCTCTCTGCAATGGAAGATATGCTAACTCCTGTAAGTTAAACTTTTGGAATCCATCAAAGCCCTTCTTCTCTCTTTTTCCAAATTTATATGATTTTGTTATTGATTTAAATGTAGATCCAAACCATGCTTTCCCAGGAGACAAACAATCCACAAAATGTAGAACTTCAAAAAGCTTTATGTGCTTGGATCGAAGAGCTTCCTCTGTTGCTTATTCAGCTTGGTGATAAACACCCAACCTGCTCCTTGGTAATCATGATTTGTAATTTCAATAGCAGTTCTCTTTGCAAAATTCCTGAACCCGTCGTACTTTGTGGAGATTGTGCTTCTACATTTATGATCTTAAAATTTTATATTTCTCTCCTTAAAACATTCGATGTTCATTTAGGCTTTAGTAAGGCTTCAACTTCGTATTGGACAACGCGCTTTGTTGAACTCAGCACTTGTTTGCGCGTACGACAACATGCAAAACTCTTTGCAAGATTTTTATTCTACGTGTCATGGAGGTAAACATCGATATGCTGTTCATTTCAGTATTGGATGATATTCCTCATATAGAGATACTATTTGACCTCTAACTGTTTTTCATTTCATATCACAGAACATATATGCTTTGGTCCTTTTCTCAGACTTCCTAGAGAATCTCAAGAGCTTTCTTTATGTTGCCTTTACTATTTATCTCATTTGGACTTGCCTTTTTTAAAGTCATTAGCCGGTTGTTGTCTAAGTAAGTTTTTCATGCTTGTTTTTAAATTTCAGCAACTATATTTCAATTGATTTTTATTTTCAACATATATTTTCACTAGATATTTTGCGAGTTAACATTTGCATGATTGATGTAAACATTTTTGAATTTTACTATGATACATGATGGCGAGTTATTGGAAGGTTTATCATTTAAAATGACCACACTCACACATGGTGGTGTTTTTCTGACTTGATGGTATTATTTGTATATATATTTTTGTGATTAATGTTTAGACAAATAAATTGAGACATTTCAATCTAGATGTTTAAAATGTACCTTAAATTTTTGAAGTTCTGGTTGTTGATTCGAATTTTGACACTTATTTTCTTAGGTAATCGTGGCAGTGATAGAATCATAGGGAGTTTAAGAACTGCAGAACTATACTAGAGAGAGATGATTGTTTCTGTTATTGAATAATCAAGAAATCAATGCTATCCTTCCCGAGGGTTTGACCTTTATAACAGAGCAATGAACTCTGCTCAATCATTCTCTTAACTAAAAAGATGCCACCCTTGTCTAATTTCAGTTATATAACCCACTGTCCAACTAATCCTCCTAATCACCTAACTTCTAATTGTCTTCTTTATTCCTTCTAGTCTACACTTAACACTTCCCGTATTTCCTTTTCATAATTTTCTCCCTTATCAAGCGGTAAACTTTTTTCTTTTTGCAAAAACATAAATCATAATTACATTGGAGAGATCCATAAGAAAAATATTATTGAGAAGTATCTTGATAAGTTAAAGGCTAAAACTGTGGAGGACACTTTTGCATAACTAATCCTCCTAATCACCTAACTTCTAATTGTCTTCTTTATTCCTTCTAGTCTACACTTCCATATTCCCTTCTCATCATTTTCTCCCTTATCAGGCAGTAATCATTTTTTGCAAAAACATAAATCTTAATTACATTGGAGAGATCCATACGAAAACATATTATTGAGAAGTATCTTGATAAGTTAAAGGCCAAAACCTTGGAGGACACTTTTGGATAAATCTTCTCCATCACTATTAGCGTGAGAATTTGATGCTAACTATAGTTAAATGTTGTAAATGTTTCTGGGTTAAAACTTATGCATATTTGTTTTTCTTTTTACAGGTCCTGATCTAGATCCCTATTTGCTGTTTCGGACCATAGAGATTCTCCATTCAGCCTATAAAGACGGGCATATAAATATCGCTGATTACTTGAGTGTCTTCATCACTTTAGTCCTGCGTTTCAAAGTTTCTCCTGGTAGGTTACAAAAATTTATTTAGAAAACCAGTTTGAACTTGTAATTTTGATGACATCCATTTCTTATTTTCCTTTTTGGAATTAGTACTTCTGTCCATTATTCTCAATATGAATGATCACAAAAAACTAGAATAGGGTTAAAATGATCAGTCCAAGACATTATATAGCAAGCGATCTTGACATGTTCTTCAGCTAGTGAAGATACTAAAATGGTGAAAATATTTAGTCATTGAAGCGAATGTATTGTATAACTTGCTAGGTAGGTTTTGTTTGACCCCTGGCTAGGACAGTTTGATCTGGTCATTAAGGATGGTTGAATTGGCCATGCTTGTCAATATTTTTAACCTACCTATTGTAGTCTCTTGGCATCAGAATCAGAAATGTCATTCTTTTTGAATTTGCAGAAGTTGGTGACGCTGGCTTGAAGGGTGTTGCACTCCGCAAAACTTTGAAGTCAGTGACGACTGTTCTTTGCTCATACATGGAACAAATCGGCAACAATTCTCTTGTTCTACAGATTATAGAGAAAGTGGTAATCGATCAAATAGTAAGTTTGCTCAATTGAGAGTTCTTTTGCATCTGTTTTTTTTTTTTCCTTTTTTTTTACCTGTGCATTTATTTGTTACTTTTTCTGGTATTTATTGGCTTGTTCTGTGATGCTCTAGAAGCATGATTTCTCATTCTGTTATTGTGTCACAGGTTTTAAAGCCTTCTTTGGATAATAGTTGTTCTCTCCTAAGAATGCTTGTTACAGTGGATAACAAGCCCACAAGTCTATCTGAACAAAGCATTATCACTCTAGGCCCTTGTCTTTCTGAATATCTAATGGACGCTATGCAGGTGATTATGCTTTCTCAAATCTTCTTGCCAACTAAAAATATATGTTTGAAGCTACGCTCTCTTTCATTTCACATCTCTCATTTTATTCTTTTGGATGTCTAGATCGTGTTTTAAGTCAATGTAAAAAACTTAAACCTTTAGGTTTCTTCTTTATTCTTAATATTTTTGGAAGTCGTTGTTTAGTGCAACTTTGAAATATTATCATTGATTTGCAAGATATCTTACTTTAAAAAAAAGATTAGAAAGAAATCTGGAATCTAGCCAAATGTCAGCAAGACACATTACAGGTGATGGAGGGACACTTCAAATTATATGTATTTTTCAGATGGTTGATTTTTGTCTCTTTCTTTGGTTGATACATGCATCAACTTCACAATTTTAACCATATTGACTATTCATTAAGAAAAATGGCAACTCGACCCTACAATCGGGCTATGACTTGGTTCCTTATTATGTTTCTTGCACCAAAGTTGTTATTGTACAGCCGAACTTTCCATTTAGTAAAAAAAATAGAGGGGTATATGAAACTAGGGAAATCTTACTATGGTACATATGAGTTTTGGTCCATACTGGACCAACGTTTAATAGCTGTTGATATATTATAAGTTAACTACTGGTGATTATTTTATAAATATATGAAGGGTTATTAGCAGTTGGTAATGGAGCGAAACTCTTGCTGACCATTCTATATGAACCCATGACACTAATCATTGAACTTGTATGGTATTGTTTTGACTAGTAATCAAGAAGAGTTTTTCATTTTCCCATTTTGCCATGGTTGTTTATAATTTTAGGGACATCTATCTATTCAAACTTTTTGTTAGATCCCTAGTGTGTTTGTTTTTTTAACTAGCAAGTGCATATTGTATATTATTTTAGTTTTTTTGTTTTAAAATAAAACATCGGGTCTCAAATGTCAATAATATATTTCACTGTCCCACAGCTCATTCAAGAAGATGGCGAGGATCCTTCCAATCAATTAAGTACCATTTATTATCTCCTACCTTGTTTCTTATTGTTTGATCGGTGCCATAAACTTATGGGTTATGTATTGAAGACAATGGGATCAACTATAACAGAAAGTAGTTTGTCATTGAAAAATGATAATGGCACTCAACATATGGGGAACTGCTTGACTAGGGTAAACATTGTGGTATCTGTACTTGTGTTGATGCACAAGGATGCAAAATTGCAACAAATTATGTCTGAATTCAAGGAGGATACTGATAACATCGTACAAGAAGTTCGTTTGTTAAAGGTAATTTATCATTGATGAGCAATTATGATTTGGTATTGAAGCTACCTATTCTTATTTTGAGAGTTTCAATAGTTTGATGATTGCCGAGGTCAGTGTCAGCCACAGATGGTCGGCCAAGTGAAGTTGGCTAAGTTGGCTAAAATGAAGTTTGGTCAAGGAAAATTGCAATATTCCTGCCCAACTGATGCTTAACTTGATATAGCTCTTTCAAGATTTAGAAATATTGTCACTTTTACTTGTCATATTGATCTGTTAATTTATTCAGTTTTCCACAAACTGTTGTAGACATTCCTTGCTCATTTGCTTTGATTTTTGTTTTTGCAGTCTTACGAGCAAATTAGTCGGAAAATTGAAGCAAGTCATAAAATACAATGTGCATTAGATCGACTGATTATTTTAACAAGATAACAATGCTCAAGAAAGGTGTTTTTGAGTGAGAAACTTGTCCATGTAAGTTTTTCGAACCTTGAATGCTATTGTATTCTTAACCCTTATTTTTTGAGAAACTTGTATATGGATTTGTCTTCTCCAAATGAAAGGGTGGATGAGCATTGGTTGAAAATCATCAAGATTGTGATAAAATACGTGTTAATGTGTAACAAATCATCAAGTTGCTTTTGTTTAAATACAAATTATTAATTTTCTGGTGAACAGTTATAATTCTGTATTTTATACACAACTGAAGTGCATTCCTAATTTTATGGTGCCAAATCTGTGTCATAAAAAATCCGCATCTCGGCCATTATTATTAATATATGCACAACTGTACATAAAGAAAAATATGTATATCTGTTTGAATTTCTCACTTCAATTTCCTCAAATAAAAACTGTCCTTTTTTCAGGCGATTAATGTCACGGTCGGGGGCACATGTTCTATACTGTTTTTCACTTGTTTTTGTCTGACTAGTGACCTGGTAGAGTTGAGTCATACAGTTAAAGACCATATCCACACTGTTGATATACTATGTGAAATTCGATGTTTATATATCGATATTTTTTCAGAATGTTCTTGCCTTGCTAACAAGTCCTTTACTTCATTATTCAATCCTTCAAAAAAATATTCATTGTGACTGCCAACAGCCATGGTCACCAAATAAAATGAACAGAAATGTCATTAGTTGCTTAACATTTCCATTGCATATCCTTAATTAGATATGATATTAGTGTAAGTAACGTTTGCACAATTTTTAAGTACTTTGGTCTGATATTTACAAACACTGTTGATATAGAAATTTATATCTGAACTGAGCTTTGTGGTAGACAATCTAATTATCACGTTCACTCTATGCATTCATATCTGAACTGTTGCCTTCTATGTCTTTTAAATTGTTTGAGTTCTTTTTTGTCCTTGAACATAGGCTATATGGCAGAGCTCAGGAACTGTTTTAAGAAAATCTCAGTGGATGTAACTGTAAACATTCTATACCTTCTTTTTCCAAGTTTATTCTGCAAGCAATTTTGAGGTATACTTTTTGCTCCAATTGTCAGGGGCTATGTATAGTTCCATTTGTTAGTCTCTTGTAACGGTCTATGGTCGGGTAGCTGGTTCGCATGCAGAAAGCGTTACAGTTCAAGAACCAAAATGATTAATGTCATACTTTGCGTTGTGTTTATTGCTAGTAAGTAATAGGGATATTTTGTTTTGCATGATTATTTGTTCAAGGTTTGATTTATGATTTTTCACACTAATTGTGTCAATGTGTACTTTTAAGTCAAGTTGGCAAATTTTGTAGTTCTTTTTGAAAAACTGTAGGCAAACTGTATATTTTAAATTTTAGATGAAAGGAGGTAAGGAATTTAGAGGTGTCGAGAATAAGGGCCTTTTTGGATCTCTTTTAGTATTTAGTTTTTAAAATTTGTTTTAAAACTGTTTTTAAAAAAGAGAATTAAAAAATGTTGGTAGGTAGTTTATTTTTTCAAAATTGTTTTAGAGAAAATGAAAACATCTATCTAATATTCTAATTTTAAAAATTGTTTATAGTTAAGAAAATCATAAAGCCTATTGGAGAATTTAATTTTTGAAATCTACATTATCATGTAACTAAAAATGAAAAATATTTTTGGACGCACTAAAACATCATAAAATCATAAAATTTTTAAATTGTACTTTTGGAATTTGGTGTGCTTGATAAACCAGAAATAGACACAGACAAATGTAGAAAACTAAATTAAATTAACATCTAACAATTATTATGACATACATTTAAAACTAATGGTGCTTGTATTAATTGTTTTTTTAAGAGCCTTTGAAACTTTCATAAGCTCAAACAACACATCTTTTTTAGAAGATTTTGATAAAGGAGAAGAGTTCCTAATAGTAGTTTGGTCTTAGTTTGGTCTTGGTGCTTTGACACCACAATGTTTGGAACACGTGTTCGGACAAATAATTTATAATCAAGAGTCACCCTGCCTTTATGTTTGGAGCTTGCCTTTATGTTTGGAGCTTCTTCTGAATGCACAATTTTAGATTGTTGATTTAAGATATACAAGTTAATAAACAAGGAAATCCTATGGGTAGCTTCGTAATAAAGGAGTCAATATGTTTTTGATCTGTCCTGATTAGAAGGGGATCACGGACTGGCCACACTCTGTTGGACTGCTATCTGTTCACCGGTGATGAGGAGGAAAAAAGTGGGGTGTACCTGCAAGACACTCCGATGCCAAAGTAAGGAGCTGGGCAGAGTGAGAGCAAAGTACACAAAGTGGGTAAGAAGTGAATTACCTGACCCTCTTGAGGAAGAGGGTATTTTTAGAGAGACCCCAGTGTTGGGCTAACGGTCACTTGCGTTGGGCTGGATTGTCAGGCCCAATCCAGGTGACAGCTAGGACTTACGTGGCGTAATGAAGACCAGAACGTGGTCTTCGCCCTATTCCAACTGTCCCGTGATCTCCGAAAAGTGGGTTTGACCTGCTCTTTCGGAGGTGGGCAGTTGGTTGGTGACGTGTCCCCGCGGAGGGGAGCACGTGGAGAACGTGTGTAGGGGCACGTTGTTCTCCCCGCGGAGGGGAGCACACGGGGACGTGGGAGAGCCATGGGATCTTGCTCGATGGCATGGGAATACCGCCCGCGGAGGGCAGTGCTTGGTCGTGCGGGCGACTCTCTTGCCCGACATGGTTGGGACGGTTCTCCTTCGCAGGGAGATCATTCTAGCATGTCAGAGATCTTGTGCTTGACGCGGTACCCGGACCGGGCAGGGCCTGGTGGAGCATTATTGGGCTGGGCCAGCATAGTTCAGCCTGGGGCCTAGTCCAGAACAGGAGCCCCCCAAGTCGTTGCTCCGAGGATGGGAGTGAGGACTTGATGACGTCGTTCCGGGGAAGTGGACTGGTCCGGGAAAATACTCCCCCGTGCGAAGACGCGCGTTTATTGTCGTCGGTCGGCCGGGCTCAAAGGCGGGTATTGGCGGGGAGAGGTGAAGAGACGCGTCTGTCTGCTTCGGCCACGTGTCGCGTTCTGGGTGGTTGTTAGGGCGGCTACCCTAGGGTACTCAAGTGTCTAGCGACGCTTCGAGTCCCGTGCAGGGGTATAAATGAGTGAACCCCTGCTCATTTCTCACTTTTCGCCCTCTGGTTCTCAAGTTTCCAGCCTGCTGTTCCGCCGGCGTCCGATATCTCCGCTGTTGCTGCCGCCGCGTTCTCCGTCGTCGATTTTACCATAGTAAAAGTTTTCCTTTTTTTTTCTCTTGCTTTTCTTGTTTGTTTCTTGAGCGTGGCCGGGGCCGATTGAATGCCCCGAGGAGCGGCGAAATCTCCGTTGTTTTCGAGGGTTTTTATTATGAATGTCCCGGGGAGAAACGCTAGATCCGATGAGTGTCTCGGGGACGGAAGTCTTTTCCGATGAATGTCTCGGGGAGGGTAGTTTTTTCCGATGAATGCCCCGGGGAGCCTTTTTTTACTCCGATGAATGCCCCGGGGAGCGACGCCTATTCTGACGGATGCCTCCGAGGTGGGTCTGTAGTTCGGACCATACGGAACCGGGGAAGTGGTAGGTTAGGGCAGACCCACCGGGGACGATGCTCGGGGAGTCCTCGTCGCCCTTTCACTTGACTTACGGTGGAAGGGTGAATTTGATCTCTGTCATCGAATTCACCGTTACCTTCTGCTTTTCAGGTGTTTAATGACTACGTTCATCTTGGGCATAATGGTCGAGGATAATGAGCCGGACGTCCCTATTTTGACGAACGCGTCGTTCCGATCAGAGACTGGGTGGCCGAGGAGCCCCTCACCATGCCCTCCTGCTTTGCTTCTGATCCGACGGGGGCCTACGCCACCGTGGAAGACCGGGAAGAGGGGGATCCTCAAAACCGGCAAGTTTATCGCCCCCGGCCAGGTCATCGGATCTGCTCGAAATACGGGCGGATGCGCTTTTCGATGTACGAGTTTTACTTCAAAGAGGCTAGGCTCAGGTTGCCTTTTTCGGACTTTCATCTGGGCCTCTTCGACTGGCTGAGGCTGGCCCCGTCGCAACTGCACCTTAATGCCCTGGCTTTTATTCGGGCCTTCGAGCTCGTGTGCCAATATCTCCAAGTCGGCGTCACGCTGTCGCTGTTCTTTCGTATTTTCCATCTGCATCGACAGTCGGTGGGAGGTCGGCATGGTTGGGTGTCATTCAAGCAGCCGGACAGGCTTTTTAGGACGTGCATGGATTCCGTCCGAGATTTCAAGAGTCGCTTTTTCGTGGTCAGCCCTATCACGCACGAAGGGGTCCGCTCGTTATATTCGGAAGGGGAGAGGATAGTGGATGGTCGTCGCGAGGCCGTCATGCTGCCCCAGGTGCACGTGGAGTGGTCCCTGGACCATTATTCTCGGGGAACAGGTGGGTACATCGTGCGGGCGGGGACGCTTGATGAGGAGGATATAACCAGCTATATGAAGATAGTTTCTTTCGTGCGAAACTTACCGCCGTCGAAGCTGGTCACCCCAGACGGCCAGTATATCCTCGACAGTTACGGAAATATTCGGGAGACGACGAGGCTGATCAACACAAAGGCTCTGCTCGAGTGCGCCTCAGAGGAGGATGATCTGCGTTACCTAGGTGGTGGCCGCCTCGTTCCCTTTCGACCTGATATCCTTAGCTTTTTACTGACTAGTTTTTCTTTTGTCGTGCAGGGAACATGGCTTCTGTCGAGGAGCGAGTGAAGAAGTTGCGCATGTCGAGGGCCGCTGCCCCTCGAAGACGCGAGTGGCTCAGTTGGCCGGACAGTCTTCTGCAGAGCAAGATGGAAGGGGGTCGTCGGCATCCCCGACCGACAGCCAGTCGCCTACTTTCCAAGGGGTTCCGAAGAGAGCGAGAGTTCAAGAGGATACGCCCGTGGTCGATTTATTGGCGGAGTCTTACGAGGAGGGTTACCCCATCGCTCATTGTCACTAGCATCTCGGCTACTTCCATGGGGCTAGGTCGCCCAGCA